GCCATCAGTTTTGCAACATTTCTTGGATATTATCATTAGTCCTAAGGCAAGTGATTTGAAGAAGATTTCCATTGGACAGGCTTTGGTGCAAGTTTTAAGACCAGGATCACTTATAAGCCCAATCCTCCTTGGTGTCGGTGTCCAGCTTAATCGCGATTTTGTTTCTCGGTTACTTGTAGACGAGCTTTACAGACTTGGGTTTTCCATATCATATGATGAAGTACTAAAGTATTTACAATCTGCAATAATAGACAAGACACCAAATTTACAAGTTCCACCAAGTCATTTCTGTTAGTGGATAGCTGATAATGTCTCTTAAATCGAACATGAACAAAATCATATTTGAAGAACTAATTTTAAATGACATGAAACACAATCTTTTAGATCTTTTGTGGAACAACAGTAAGTTGTTGAAGACGCTGCGTTCTGGATGGAATGGATACATGCAAAATGTCGTTATCAGTGATGAGCACCCAGGGGTAGTATCCACAACATTTTTACCTATGATTGGTATGAATCCAGCAACTCACAGCTGTGTTTATACCACATTGAAGTTTATATGTTCGGAAGCAAAAAAACTCAATACACCCTTACCAGTTGTAACATTTGATCAGTGTCTGTGGATTAAGGCTATGGAAGTTGCTTGCAGTAAATCCGAATAATTCCCAAACATTTTAATTCGTCTGGGTGACTTCCATACACTGATGTCCTATTTAGGTACAATTGGTGAATTTTTATGTGGATCTAGAATCGAAGAGACCTTGAAGACCACTTACGCGGAAAACACAGTCTCACATATGCTTACAGGTAAAGCTGCTTTCATCTGCACTTACATCAATGTTGCTTCAGGATATCCTCGACAGTAACTTACAACTTCCGGCAGACTGTCAAGTGAGCAAAAAACGGAAACCAATGGATACAGGTGAAATACATTTACGTTTACACAGTCTCGGGGAACTTTAGGATAAGCTATATAGTAGAGAGATTACAGTCTCTGAAGTAAGTTCCTCTACCGAACTACTACAGTTGTCTTCTGAATTGCTAGAAAAGAAGAACTTTTTGAAGGTCCAAAGTAGAACTACCAAACTGTGTATCATGTATTTAGATATGGTTGACATTGCCAAAGCATTTATTTGAACTGAACGAACAGGAAACTTAAAAATGCATTTGCAAACTATAAAGCACATGCTGCCTTTCTTTGCGTCTGCGGGGCACAACTATGCAAAATGTGCTAGGGTGTATCTACAGCAAATGAGGCAAGTGGAAAAAAATCATCAAGATGTTTATAGTTTGTTAAGTGCTGGTCATTTCACTCTTCGTAGATACACTCAATTGTGGGCTGCAATATTGACAAATATGTTTACTGAACAAACGTTTATGCGATCAACAAAAAGTCGAGGTGGGTTAACACGTGGAAAGAGCATGGGTGAAAGTTAACGAGCTACATGGATATTGAGCCACCCTGCATGTTGTGGAGTTATTGCTGCTATGAGCGATCTCACTGCCGTCTCCCGTGTTAGCAGTGAACAACATATTGAAATGTCCGATGCTAGGACTTCTAGAGATATGAAAGACTTCGTTACATTACTTCAATTTCTGCAAGATCAGAATCCATTTGATTCAGAATGCGTTCAGCTACGTAATATTTTCAGTGGGATAGTAGATACTCAACACAAGATAATTGCAGATAATGCTAAGTTTATTGGAAATCCAAACTGATTGGAAAAGCTTTCAACTCTGTTACCATGGTTAAAAAAGATCAAGCTATCACAATGAAGATTTTAAGAAAAGGTATTGTTATTGACGGAGTTGTTGAACATAACACAAGACTCCTCACTCAGAGAATGCTGGTATGTTTGTCTGTAAATCCTGATCTGCAAAAATTGGAGGGAAACTTTAATTATGAACTATCTATATTTCCTCCATCGCTATTTGATCCAGACACTCAGTTATTCAGAAAATGCGATAAATCATCATTGGCAAGAACTTTGGATGATTTACAACCTAGTTTAAATTACATGTTACCTGCGGACACATGTTATGTTCTTGATGGTGGTGCACTACTACACAAATTGCCATGGCCAAGAACTGGGAAGTTTTCAGATGTGTTATAGATGTGTTAACTATATAGTAGTCATATAACTAACCAATATAAAGTTGTGACAGTTGTATTTAATGGCTATACCACCTCCAGTATTAAGGCTGTTGAGCATCAGATACGTACAAAAAAAACGTCGGTAACAGTTAAATTTACCGAGAGCTCTTCACTTCTTATCGGCAAAGCACCTTTTCTTGCTAATAATAAAAATAAACAGTGCCTTATTACCATGCTAGGAAAACACTTAGAAGCCAATGGCCACACTATGATTCATGCTACAGACGATGCTGACACACTGATTGTAAGAACAGCACTGAACTTGGCAGAAGAAAAGCACGTAACAGTTGTTGCTGCTGACACCGACATTCTGGTAATTTTAATTTACCATAACACACGAAATATTTGCTTGCAATCATCTACGTTCAGTGATAGAAAACGTGATATTAAATTGATGCAGCATATACTTGGTGAAAAGGGGTGCAAAATCATTCTCTTTTCCCATGCTTTAACCGAATGCAATACCACAAGCTCCTTATTTGGCAAAAGTAAATCGGCAGCATATCGACATTTTTGGAAATGTGAACAATTTAGCATTTGCGCTACTTTGGATCAGAAAATGCAAACAGAAAGGAACTTACAGACATTGGCACCAAAGCATTGGTATCGTTGTACGGTGGAAATCCAAACACAGAGACCTTAAATCTACTACGACATAATCTCTACTTGAAAAAAATCACAACTGCCAAAAGTAAATTCAATATTGCAAGATTGCCACCAACTGAAGATGCTGCTGTTCAGCACCATCTTCGCGTACATTTACAATGCCTTTATTGAAAAACTATGAACAGCAATATTGCCAACCCCGAAGAGTGGGGTTGCAAAAAAGTAGGAGACCAACTACAGCCCATAATATGCGAAATGAGCCCTGCACCAGAATTATTACTAAACACAATCTGCTGCACCTGCAAAACGGATACAAATGACTCGTGTGGTAGTAGTAGATGTACTTGTCGACGGTATGGTGTGAAATGTACTGAGATATGCTGCAACTGTTCTGGTCGCGATTGTACAAATAGTGCCCCAAAAGAACGTGTTGAAAATAATGAAGAAGACTATTAGACTTCATTGCATTTTTTATACAGCCTTTTGATTATTAAAAATAAAATTTTCTAGATAAGCTTCCTATTTTTCGCCCACCGTTTTATTTTTTTTTTGCTCATTATCATCATCTTTTTCAGCATAAAATTCCCATTATTTGATACCACACACGATTTTTCATGAATAAAAAAAATGGCGGCCAAAAGACGCATTTCGCACACTCACATTTTTCTAGACTTTTAGTATGTTGAAAGGATATGAGTAATGAGCTCAAAAAATCAAACCCCGTCTTTGTGGGAATAAGTTCCACCTTTGGCTAATTTTTTGTGTAAATCTACTATACTAATAACTGAAAATCACACAAAAAATCTCAATCGACGTGTTTTTGCGTTTTATCCGAATATTTTATCCTGAGGCCCTAGCGAATTAGTTCCAGTTGAAGTCCCCATGCTCTATGAATACAAAGTTAAAAAGTCTGAAAAATGGATTCAGTTTCCGCAGCCTTAGCTCTCGAACTCCCACGTTTTTTTTTAATAATTTACTGCAAAATTTATTTGTTCAGCATTATAAAAAAATTTCAAAACTTGTGCAAGATACATTAGTTTTAATGAAATGTACAAAGATGGGATGAATAATGTCCAGCCTGGCCTATAGTGGGCTATGATTTTGATCATTTGTTTATTGTCTTGTTTAATGGCATATGTCATAATTTTTTCTGTGAGATATTATAGGTTTGTGTAAAGTGGTTTGCATATAAAATCCTATAACCAAATTATAAGTTTTTTTTGAATAATTGGGAGCTGTCATAAAATATTTTCATACTGAGGGTTTAAGTCATACGGAAATTATAGCTGAGGTAGATTCTACTGTAGACGAGTCTGTTCCATCATTTTGAAAGGTAAAAACATGGCTTATAGATTTTAAACGTGGCCATATAAGCATTAAGGATACAGGGCTTCCAGGTAGGCGAAAATTGACTACGATGGAAAATATGGTCCTGAAAGTCTAAAATCATTATGAGTGACTGTAGATTAAAGTTGGTGAAAATAGCTGTGCCAGGGAATTTCAAAAGAGCAAACACGTCACAAACTATGTAAAATTTTGGACATAAGAAAGGTACTATCAAGATAGATACTTCCATTGCTCATATCGGAGCAAAATTTATTCGTATGAATGTTTCAGAAAAGTGTTTATTGCTATGTAAGAGTAATTCAAAGAAATTTTTGCATAAAATAATATCTATGGACGAGACTTAGGTTTACTATTACATGCCGGAGTCTAGATAATGGGCAGCGAGAGACAAACCATCTCAGACAAGGTGAAAACAGTTAAATTGGTCGGAAATATTATAGACTGGGTATTTTGGAATACAACAGGCGTTATTTTTATTGAATATCTTGAAAAGTGTAAAATAATAATTGGAAAACATTGTGCTATTTGGCTTGATCAGGTGCAATAAAAAATTATGATGAAAAGACCTGGATTATGGAAAAAGAAGTTTTGTTTCATCAGGACAATGCGCCGTACCTCAAGTCCATTATTACAATGGCTAAAACTATTCAACTGGGCATTGAATTACAGTTCCATGCACATTACTCGTAAGACTTGGCCTAGTTTTAAGAGCTGTATGATTTGGCCAAAACGAAAGGCATAAAGGGCCTTGAATGCCGTTGGGCAAAGTATATTGAGATAAAAGTAGACTATGTAGAAAATTATTTTTGACCCATTGTCTTATTTTTTTCTGTCTTAGGCTGAACATTATTTATCCCATCCTCGTAAATTATGATTTTTAAATCCTACTTACTTTGAAAGTTTGGTTGCTTAGTAGTTGCTTCTTTTTAATTTTCATTGAAACTTCGCGTCTTAAAGCTCCTGACGATTCGCCTGGCCCACCAGTAACACCAGCAATGGACCAATCTCTTCCTCCGAAAGACTAGATATAAGTTTTTAATAAAATAAAACTGTACATTACTTTCTTCTAAAATGAAAGATATACATTTTTTTACTGACGGGTCTTATTTCGATAAATATTATTTTGGTTGACACATGTTTTCAATGTTTAGTGATAAGGTCTAGGAAAATATTGAAACTAAAGTGTGAGAAATATTTGCAGTTATTTAAACTTGTTTGTATACCGTGATTAATATACTTTGTGTTACCTTGTACTGTAAACTGAGAAAATTCGGCATATACAAGTATATACAGTCTGTTCGCTATACTTACGCGGGTTTCGGATTAACAAAATTATGCAACTTAGTCATTGACAACCAGTTCCAATAAGCCTCTTCCCAAGAAATTAGGTAAAATTGCCCTAATGGTCAGATTTAAATTAAAATAACATTAGGGTAGGTACTAAATTTGTTACAAATATTGCAGTTGAATTGATTCTTTGCAAGTGTTGACATTGTATGTATATTGTAAATTTAGTGGAAATTTTAAAAATGCCTAGACGTGTGTTAGATGTAGATAGTCTAATTTGTAGTGTACATAAGTATTTAACGGATGAAAAAGAAAATGGCGGTCCTTTAAAATCGATAATGTTTGTATAACAACGCGTATGTCCGTAAGTCCAATGAAATCTTGGACTGTTGATAAAATTAAAGAATGGTTGACAAAGGAACATATACCATTTCCTCAATATATATTAAAATCAGAATTATTACGCTTGGCAAATATACACGCAAAACCAAAAACCTTTGTTGTGGATCAGATTATTGAAAGTTACGGTCATCAAGTTTTACGTCTGCCATCGTATCATTGCCAGTTTAATCCCATCGAATATATATGAGGAATAGTAAAACAATATTATGACAACCATATTGGGCCTAATGGTTATAGTGATGACGCAGTTCGGGAAACTTGGCGAAAACCACTTTCAATTGCAACTCCAGAAGTGTGGCGGAACTGTATATCCAAGTGCGAGAAACTAATAGAAGTCCAATCATAATAACAATTAATGGTGATGACAGTGATGATGATGACGATTATGATATTTTGGATGATAATGACTGAAATTTCATTTTTGTTGGCAAGTTCAATTTTTTTATTTTTTATTTGAAATTCTCTACATGTAACAAATTTTTATGTTAGAAAATATTTTATTTGAGCTAAATAACCCTCTTATTATACATAGACCATATTTTCTGTGTAAAGTGTAATATAAAATTATTATTAGGTTTATAATAGCCACATTACACTCCATTAATAAAGAAGTTTAATTCTGCTCTTAATTATACAAAAGATTCTCCATTATTATTTAATTAAAAAGTGGTACATTATTTTTCATTTCATTTAACCATTTGATATTTCCCCAAAGAACAGGTCAAACTTTCGGGTACTTACCTGGGAATACTCATAAAATTTTTAATCCGAAACCCGCGTAAGGATAGCGAACAGACTGTACCTAAGATTTTTGACTTGTCATTATTCAATATCTAACAATAGCAAGTTTTTAAAAAACCTGCCATTATTTTATTGATCTTTCTGTAACCATTGTATTACCCTTAACATTTATCTTTAGTTTACAATTATTTAGCAGTTATTCAATCAATTTGCTAATAATTCAGGAATAACCGTTAGTTGGCATTGACTAAAAATATTTATAGAAAAAAACTTGCAGTTATCTTTTAAATTTTAATAACGCCATCTACTAGTAGTAATAACAACATACAATTAAGGTTATTTTTTAACTGCTACTGGTATATTCTATACCGATTATCGTACGCCAGGTTAAGTGACGTTGCCACATATTTAGTTAAATATTATAAGATAACTAAATAAATCATAGAATGTTGTATACCATATTAAATAATATTTTCAAAGATAGAATGCACTTCCACATAAAGTATCTAATAATTAGTATAAACTGAAAATGCTGATTTCAAAAAGACATATGAACCCATCGACAGCAAATAATATCCGCGAAAAGTCCCACTACCATACTACTACTACCACCTGTATTATGGTTACTAACTTTCCCCCATCATAGAAAAGTATGTTCGTATTTCATAGGTAATTTGATGTTTTTTGTTTGACATAGGTGCATTTTTATCTGTATTTTATTGTATCTAAAAAAATATATTTTTCTATCGCAATTTATTTGTTACTACACTTTATTTGTTACTTTGCAAATTTCGAAAAATCAAAAAATCGAAAAATCGAAAAATCGAAAAATCGAAAAATCGAAAAATCGAAAAATCGAAAAATCGAAAAATCGAAAAATCGAAAAAACGAAAAAACGAAAAATCAAAATATCAAAAAATCGAAAAATCGAAAAATCGAAAAATCGAAAAATCGAAAAATCGAAAAATCGAAAAATCGAAAAATCGAAAAATCGAAAAATCAAAAAATCAAAAAATCGAAAAATCGAAAAAAAATTCCGTAATGAAAATAAACCTTACACACCCACTCCGACCGACACAACGGTGCGGCGTTGAAAGCTGTGCATCGTCTAACGTCGTTTCAGTTCGGCAAACTTCGGCACGGTGTTTGTGTGCGTGCGACTAGACGTATGCGTGTAGACTAGCTGCTAACTGCTCATAACTGATTCTATCTATTTTTTTTTAGACACAATTTCGGGAAAATTAAATTTGAAAATGAATAATGATCCACAAGAATCCACAACAAAAAATATGGGACCACTATTGACGCGGTATTTTCCAGATATTTAGAGGATATCAAGTCTCAAACCTATGTTTCTTATTTCAGTTACCATAAACCTATAGTTTCAATGATAAAAATTCCTGAATAACCTACAGGTATTGTAAGATAATAAAAATATTTTAAACAATATTAACTTCTCATTTATTCAATAAAAGAAAAAAAATGTTTTCTTATCGGTCACCACGCTTAAAAAGTGTAACTTGAATTAATATCTAAGAAAAAACTTGAATTAATATCAAAGAAAAAAATACTGCATAAATAAAATAAATAAATAATTATAATTGCATAAGTTGATAAAAAATGCTATGTAATAGCTTTATCGCGGCAGTCCCCGAGTGCCACACGTATTTTTTTTAAATTTTATTTTAACCTTATAATTCTAGAAATAATTATTGTAGTTGGCCAGCTATCCTACCTACTAATTCATAAAAATTATTTTAGTTGAATAATGTTCCAACAACTGTAAATTCTGGAATTTTAAGGTTAAAATAAAATATGGATAATCTTGCATTTTAGGTAGGTGACCCAAATTTACGGTATTTGAAATATGGTACATGAATCAATCTTATAAGAAGTTAAATCTTTATACAAACAACAAAGTTGAATTATTTATACCTTTTCTCAGAAACAAACTTTAGAAAAAAGAAGTTGATACAAAAGTTTCTTGGTTTTAAACAATTTTTTTAATTTGAATTTATTTAATCTGAATAGTGCTCCACCGACTTCAACACCAAAATTTTAAATGACACATCCTGAATGTTAATTCTTAGATTCTTCTGGGTGAGCTTATTTTAACGATAGATATGTCACACATATCTAATTAGCTAAACAGTTGAATATCGAGAAAAATGGCTACATGTCCCTATCCTATTGAAAAGTAGCTAATAAGATCACCCTGCACCATACATTTTTCATACCACTGAATAGTTCGGATAGGGACATGCAAGCTGTTTTTCTTGAATTTCAACTGTTTGACTATCTACCTCTACCTAAATTTAAAAAAAAATGTTATTTTCTAGTAGCTGTAGATCCATTACTGATCACATTAGATAGGTAGTATGATATATAGTTGAAATCTGCTTATTGAGAAGACTCTAAAAATGTAAAAATATACAGGGTGTTGTATTTAAAATTCTGATGTTAAAGTTGGTGCAGCACTTTTCGGACACCATATATTAATAAAATTCAAATAATTTAAAAAATTTGTTTAAAACCAAGAAACATTTGTGTAAACACTTTTTTTTAAAGTCAGTATATAGTTTTTGAGTAAATAATAATAAATTACTCGCCCCCTATATGAACCAACCTTTAATTGGATGAATTACAAATCTTTTAATCTATTTTATTTTTAATAAGACTCATTCTTTGTTGTTATTTTCCTTTCGAAAAACAGGTATAACAATACGGTAAATCCTTTTTGGGGAAATAAAAGTGAGATGTTATTTAATTAATTTATTTTTCACTTGGCAATAATTCGTTTGTTTTGCATATAATTTGAAATACATAAAGGTACTCCTAAAGAATTATCTACAATGGGCTTGCATAAAACAGAACTTGGCATAAATCGCTAGTTATCTCAGTCATGTAAAAAAGTTCTAAATTTAAGTGAAAAATAAAATTTTGTAGTTAAACCTAATTTGGATAAACTTAATAAAATAATTTATACATTTAAATATATTATTTATTTTTATTTGAAAAGTTACAAGCACATTGTATGTGTATGTTTCTGTCGAATAACTGTAAGTATGTTACTGTATAAGGACTATACGGTAAAATAATAAACTGCGCAATTGCAGAATGATTAAGGGTTATTTGACCATTGACTAACGGTTATTCGATCATTTCAGCAAGATCTAACTAATAATGACAAATTGATCTTTTTGCAGTCCGTATGGTATTCAAATATCTATTAAGGGTTATTTGATATCTACTAACGGTTATTAGATATTTTTCTCAGTGTACTGGCTGCATTCTACTAAAATTAGCACAGCACCAGATGACCATACAGGGCAAGAGAGACATCCGACATGGCAACAATTGAAAAGTCTAATAAGTCGCCATTTTGCCAGAAATCTGTCAAAACATATATGCAACCAACAATGCATGGTAATATGAAAGCCAGACAGTATGCAACCAACATTATGCGATTTTGTTAAACATTGCATGCATCAAGCTCCTTTGTTACTGGGCATTTTATAATTATTAAAAAAAATTGTTTATTCATCAACTATTAACATTATTATGTGAAATTGCATTATTAAATATTCCTAATACTTTAAAAATCAGATAAATTGATCAAATCGTTCGAAAAAATGTAAGACTCACCAAACGACTGAACAAAATTCGAAAGATGTAATTCACGAACATAAACGAAAACAATGCAAAACATTAAAATAGCATTGGCATTATCGGCATCAAAAGTTGACACTTAAATCTGACAATTAGCTGGCAAAATAGCGGAATAATCTATCCCGTTTCAGTAGACACTCAGATCAGATGTGCAGTCGTTCTTTAGCCGTATATTTCTCTAGGTGTGTGGTGAATCCCAAAATATTGTTCCATGTATTTTTAATTATTATAACAGGTGAAAAAGGAGCTCTGAAGTATACTCTCTTAAACATATCTTCTTAGAGTTTTATGTAAAGTGAATAATTTGATAGGAAGTTTTCCAGGAATGGATGAAATGCGACTTTGAAAACTTTTAAATCTATTGTGAAAAAATATCTTACCCTGATGGCATCGGCAGCCAGAGGTCCACAACAGTAACCGTCTTCATGATATAATTGCATATATTGTTCTCTTAACCATAATAATCTTCTATCACAGAGTGCTTCTTGTCGATTCAGTCCACGGATCAGCCAGCAGAGACCGCTAAACCATACCCTGTAATATTAAACCTATGTCAAAATGATTACTACTAGGACTACTTGATCTACCAGATTGCTAATATTTAATCCTAACATACTTGTGGTGTACTTATTATATCTGTATTATAATAATAATAATAATAATAATAATAATAATAATATAATAAAGTTTATTCATAAATAATACAATTAAATTAAATACAATATAATATTTGTTGTGAATAAAGAAAAAAGTGTTAAACACCCATTTAAAATTAACTCGTGGCAACGCTATTTGTACAATTAAGGTGACAGATATTTAAAAGAACAGCTTGTTAAAATATCTGCAACCCACAATGCCAAATTTATTATTTAAAAATAGTTTTTGTATTCTCAATAAATTAACTTAAACAATCTTTCCTTACATTGCTATGTACACATTTACAAGTTTTACAGATTATGAGGTTAAAAAAAAGAAACAAAGTAACAACTAAAAGAAGTTATCTAGATGATGACTCTATTAAGGTAAGCTTTATTTATTATTTATGTATGTATTTAGTTATTCAGTTTAGACCTTTTCATTATTTATGTTGTTATAAACCCATTTTATTCAGAAGTAATGCTTTCCTTTTACCTTATATTAAGTTCAAGTCTAGTTATTGACGATCTAAGATAAATTTAATATCAAATGTCAGATGTCAAAAGAGACGAAGAAGGTTGTTCTGTGTCTCTGATGTAGATGATAAAGAATGGTTGTCTCTGGTATTAATAATAATAATAATTAGAACGCTGTTTGCATATTCATTGTCTTTATTAAATAAACGTTATATAAGTGATCTACTGCATATTCATATATTGAACAACAATTACAACAGGTTATGGACCCAGAAATTCAAGATTAAAAAGTGATAAAAAATTATTCAAAAGCCATTAAGAAAAGTAAAAGAAAATGTCGTCAGAGAAACCAAAAAATAATTTTAATATAGAATTACTAAACTCAAACAATTACCATACATGGAAATTCAGAATGAATGTTCTATTTGAAGAAAAAAATGTATTAAAAAGTATTAAATGCGAATATAAAGAAGAACACTATGAAAATGAGGCAAGGAAGAAAGAAGCAAAGAGTAATGATATCAAATGCAAATCGTTTATTGTGCAATGTTTGGATGATGGCCAAATTTAATTCGAGATAAAAATACAGCTTTTAGCATGTGGAGAAGCTTAGAAGAAAGGTATGAAAAGAAGGGCATTCCGGGACAGATGATTCTAAGAAAAAAGTTAATGACCATAAAACTGCAAAAGCCAAATGAATTAGAGCATTTCTTGTCCGAATTCGAAGAAATTGTTAGACAATTCAAAGTAGAGGAGCCGAAATTAAGGATGAAGATTTAGTATGTACGTTACTTCTTGCTATGCCTCCAGCTTTTGAAACTGTAATTACAATATTAGAAAACATGACTAGTGAGGACTTAACATTTGAAATCGCGAAAACAAAATCAAAAAGTGAGACTGAAAGAAAAGCAGTAAATAATGACAGCAATGAAGTTAGAGACAATATTAAGCCAGCAGCCTTCATAGTAGCCAATAGAGAAGGACATTGTTTTATATGTGGAGGAAAGAACACTACAAAAGAGAATGTAGGAGCAGAACTGTGTATAGAGGTGGTTTTCGAGGTCATAGTAGAAGAATATTTGTAAACAAGAGAGGTTTTATTAGAAATAGAGGATTCAGCGGTCAAAATTACAGAGGAGGTTATAGAGGTGATTTCAGAAGTAATTTCAGAGGTCGCTACAACTATAGATGAAATAGGCATCAAAATGAAAGAAACAGGGATGAAAATGCACAAGGGAACTTTGTACAAAATGAAGAGGACGTTGAAAATAAGTGTATTTGTTTTATGACCAGACTAAAAGACAACTTAGATAATAAGGACCAAGATAATAATAATAATAATGTAAGTAATATTTTGTTTTATATAGACTCAGGATGTAAGGATCATCTAGTGAACAATAAGAAATATTTTTCTGATTTTATGTATTTGGGTAAACCTATAAAAATTTCTGTTTCAAAAAAATAATGATTTTATGGAAGCCATAGGCGTAGGAAATATAAAAGTAAATAGTTATGTAGGTGGAAAAGCACAAGAGTGTACAATTAAAAATGTGTTTTATGTTCCAAATTTGCGTCAAAATTTTGTCTCTAAACCGACTAGAAATGTCAAATATAAAGATAATTTTTGATAATTGTGAAGTATTATTGTACAAAGGAAATGATATAGTAGGAATAGGGAAAAGAAATAGGTTATATGAAATAGTATTTGAGTTAAATATTAAAGAATGTCTAAACGTAGAATCTGAAAATGACAATGGTAAATTATGGCATATGTGGCATTAGGACATATGTGTAATTCTTATTCAAATAAATTGGTAAATAAAAATATGGTAAGAGATATAGAAAATTTAAAGGTGAGTAAAATTTATTTTTGTAAGTCCTGCAAAGATGGTAAAATGATGAAGCTAAATTTTGGAACAAGAACAAAAGCAAAAAGGGTATTAGGTATAGTTCATACTGACATTGCAGGACCAACAAATCCATTAAATCATGATGATGAAAGTTTCTTACTTTCATTGACGACTTTTCAAATTTCATTTATGTTTATGTAATCAAAAATAAAAGTGATGTTTTTGAATGCTTTAATGAATACGTTAATACAGTTCAAACTAAGTTTAATTTAAAAATAGCAGTTTTGAGGTGCGATAATGGCAGAGAATATATATCAAATCAAATAAAGGAATTTTGTAGAAATAATGGTACAGTGATAGATTATACTATTCCGTATACACCGGAACAAAATGGCAAATCAGAGAGATAATTAGACAAAGCAAGAGCTATGATCCAAGCAGAAAACTTACCAAAAGAAATTTGGAATGAGGCAATAAGGGTGGCAGCTTATTTTATAAATAGAAGTCCACATAGTAGTTTAGAAGATAAGACACCAGCTGAGATATGGAATGGGGAGAAACCTAATATTAAAAATATGAAGATATTTGAATGTAATGCCTATGCACACATACCACAACAATTTAGAGAAAAATTTGGGCAAAAATCTAGAAAATGTGTAATGATTAGGTATAGAAATACAGGATATAGACTATAGGATATTGAAAAGAAGAAGATTATAGTTTCCAGAGATGTAGTATTTGATGAGAACACATTTCATTTTAAAGAGAACAGAATAAATATAGATTGAGGTGAGGAAAATTTTTAAAAAGAAAAGGAAGATGACGAAGAACAGACACAAGAAGAACAAGAGAACGGCAAAGAACATAAACGTAAAACTAAAGTTCCAGAAAGATATACTGATTACGAATTATACATGGCTTTCGATGCGATGTCATATATAGAAAATGCTCCAGAGTGTATAGATGAATTAAATGACAGAAATGATAAAAGTATGTGGTTAGAAGCAATGCATAAGGAAATCAAATCAATAGAAAAGAATTAAACATGGGAACAGGTTAAAATGCCAGAAGGTGAAGAAATTTTAAAAACCAGATGGGTATTTGCTATAAAGCCTTATCAAGATAAAATAGAAGACAAATACAAAGCTCGACTTTTAGTAAGATATTATGCTCAAAAGGAATCATTCAATTATAATGATATTTACTCTCCGGTAGCGAGAATGTCTACAATTAGAACAATGTTATCAGTTGGGAATCAAAATAAGCACTATTTTAAACAATTAGATGTAAAGATAGCTTTCTTAAATGAAGATCATAAAGAAAATATATATGTATATCCACCAGTGAATGTAAAATGTAAAGATGGATATATCTTAAAATTAAAGAAATCATTATATGGGCTGAAACAGGCAAGTAAGTGTTGGAATCAGAAAATAAATGAATTCTTGATAAGTTTTAAATTCAAAAGATATGAAACGGACCATTGTTTATATGTGAAAGGAGATGACAAGGAGACTATGTATCTATTACTATGTAGATGACATAATAATTTCAGGATCATATTTGACACATATAGAAGAATGTAAAACACAATTAATAAGCAGTTTTAAAATTAAAGATAAAGGTAATCTTAGAAACTTTCTAGGATTAGAAATAAAGTATGAAAGAGAAAAAGGAATGTTGCAGATAAATCAAGAGAAATATATAGAAGGAATACTTAAAAGGTTTAATTTTGAAAATTGTAACCCTTGTACCACCCCTATGGATCCAAAAAATACATTAAGAGTTGTAGAAGATAATAAACAAGAAAATAGACCAATAAAACAACTAATAGAATGCCTCATGTATTTAATGTTAGGATCCCGTCCGGATACAGTGAATTATTTTAGTAGATTCCAAGATGTTAATTCAGAAGAGGTATGGGTAGGATTAAAAAGATTGTTACGGTATCTTAAAGGTACATGTAAAATAAATTTAGAATTTAATAGAAATGTAAGTCAGTTAGCAATTAAGTGTTATGTAGATTCAGATTGGGTAGGAGATATACGTGACAGGAAATCTGATAATAGTGTAGTTTGGGTCACAAGAAATAGTATATTACATAACAAGAGTAGTAAGAAGCTAATTACATGCGAGTAGAAAAGTTGCACACGAGCCGCGTTAGCGGCGGGTGTAGTAATTCTACGAGCATGTAATTGCTCTTACAACTCGAGTTATGTACTATACTTTATCTACAACCACATTCATACATTCATAATAAAAAAGCTTTCATAGTCTATAACATTTATTAAATACAATAATTCATTAACATATCATTGATTCTTAGAATAATAATTAACGGTAAAATTTTGGCAATTTTGAATAATTATGGGTTCGTTAGTATTTTGAGGTATTTTATAAGAAAGAGATGGCACTGAAAGAGATGATGTAGATGGTGCAGAGGAATTAGACTCTATTTGATTGCTGTTATTTATGGTTTGAAGGATATTATAAGTAGAAATATTCTCATTTATTTCTGATGTGCTAGGTGGAAAATCTGTTTTTTCAATTGACTGGATAATTTTATGAGCCGTTAAAGTTTTATTATTTAATGAATTATCAACATATCCTTCAGCAGTCGTTGAGGATTTCCAGCCTCCATGCCTTTTTAATGCGAATAAATCACCACCTGCATCAACTAAAATTGTGGCAGAAGTTCTTCTTAAACAATGGCCGGTGTATAAATTGGGATTGGGCAAGTTTAAATATTGTGCTATTTGTTTGGGTACATTTCCAATTTTATTTATACCGACCACTTGCTTGGTGCATTTTCCTTTTTGATAATTTATGAAAAATTGATTTGTATCAAGATTTTGCACTTGCTGGCGATGTTGCATATATTGTTTGCATATTTGATAAAAGGTTCCGTTAATCACAAAAGACCTGCTTATCTTAGTTTTTGAATCAGGTATTTCAATAATCAGTATGTCACCAACATCTCTTATATCCTTGATTTATAAATTTTTTAATTCTTGTTTCCTACATGCGCCACAAACTCCAATAATTAGAATCACCTTAAATAAAATATTGAAAAGTAAAATCACTAGCCAATACTAAATTAACTGAAGGAAAATTGCTTTAGATACAAACCTTTGTTAATAAGTATTGTGAATCAGGAGCTTGATTTAAAAATTTACTTATTTCATCAGAAGAAAAAATTTTTGATTTTTTGCTTTTAAAACCTTCCGATTGCCTTTTTAGGAATGCCTTTAATTTTGGGTATGTTTCAATATTCACGTTGTTTTTTATGGAAATGACGGTCCTTAACATGGAATATATTGCCCATATTGATGAAGGTTTAAATTGTTCCATTAGGTCTCCAAAATATGCCAAAAGCACATTTTCAGAAAATGAATTAATCTTGTTTTTTATACGCCAGTCCATAAACTTTTGGTATACTATTTCATACCTTGTTCTTGATTTTGTTAGCAGTAATTTTTCTGTGGTATTGGCAGCTTTTTCAAGAATTTCAGGTGGAGTTTCTTGAAATTCATTTTCGCTTTCTGACGAAATCATATTCATTTAAAAAATAATGCTGTAACTACAAAAATGGCGATTTTATATTTCTGAAATGTCAAAACTTATTAATCGTAACCATGGCGATCACCTAGCAATGGACTAATATGGGTAGTTTGATAAATGAAACTGTTATGTAATATATATATAAACAAAACGGTACATAATAAGCGATTTACTGGGGTGGTTGTAGATAAACAAACTTATATTTCACTTTCAAACTCAGAAGCTGAGTTAGTAGCAATATATTCAGTAGTTTGTAAATATTTATTTATGAAAAAAGTATTAAATGATATAAATATAGATGTGTCAAATTTTAAAGTTTTTGAAGACAACCAAGGTTGTATTGCATTAATAAAGAACCCTGAAAATAATAAGAGGATCAAGCATATTGACATAAAATATAATTTTGTTTGTGAATGTATGAATAATAAAAGCATGGTTTTATTAGATTAGATAAGAGATGGGTATTAGTTTTAAGTTAAAGAAAATGCAATTAAGATTTTTCTTTTCTGTTATTTGTATGTATTTAGTTAATTTTATATTGTATGTAGAAAGAAAAGCATTAAGAGAGGGTGTTGTTATAAACCCATTTTATTCATAAGTAATGCTTTCCTTTTACCTTATATTAAGTTCAAGTCTAGTTATTGACGATCTAAGATAAATGTAATGTCAAATGTCAGATGTCAAAAGAGACGAAGAAGGTTGTTCTGTGTCTCTGATGTAGATGATAAAGAATGGTTGTCACTGGTATTAATAACAATTAGAACGCTGTTTGCATATTCATTGTCTTTACTAAATAAACGTTATATAAGTAATCTACTGCGTATTAATATATTGAACAACAATTTAGTTAATTTAAAACTTTATTTAATTTCAGTTTTCGGATTTATCGTACTATAGATTTTTTAGGTCTATCCAACTATGTACCTCATTCCTATTTTTGAGAATATCCAATTTTTAATTTTTTTTTAACCATCTTTAATAAATTTAATTGTTTAAAGGGTGGTGGAATTATATTGTATAACCTAGGTCCTAAATAAAAATAGCTTCTTTAAGTTCTCGTTTTAGAGACTTTGGGTATTATTAAAATATTTTCTTTATTCCTTGTATCATAGTATCATGTTCTAGACTATTCAAGTCGTTTTTATAAATGTGTTGCCTTGTAAGAACTAATAAATAAAAAAGTCGCCTAATATCAAAAAACTTACAAAATTAAATAACTGGTCAGAAGGGTATCTAAAATGTTTTCCGTATATTATTTTTATTAACCAATTTTGGGTAATTTCTAATTTGTTTAGATAGTTATTTGTCACGCCTCCCCATGGTATAATACCATAGTTAAGATGAGGCTCTATAAGTGCATGGTAAATTATACGTTGTTGCTCTATATTTCGTATTTGTTTTAAATACCTGAATCTCCATAACATTGATTATAATTTTTTTATTATAGAATTTATATGTATATCCCACCATTAAACTACTATTTTATATTTTGTTATGCAACGGGATCCCTTCCGTTTTTCATGAAACATGTAATTTACATTTAAGTGCCGTTTTTTTTATGAAAATATGTATTATAATATAAACTATTTACGATCAAGTGGTTTGCTCTGATCCTTTGGGTCCCTCTGCCTTGTTTGGGCCTTGTTAAGACCCCACTTGTCCTTAAAACTAGGAATATTTGATAAAGGGGATAAACCGCCTTTACCCAACTATAGGGACGCCTATGGTCATAGACATCCGGCATGAATCATTCATTCAGGAAATTACTAAAAGTCAATTCGAGAATCTGTCTAATAAATGGCGAGAACAACTTAGCGTATACACCAATTTAAATATAAAGGGCTGTGGTGCAAATGAAATCACCACCCTGAAAAGGGGAATAACTCCTATAGCAGGGTATAAGGAAAAATTAAATGTCCTATAAAAATTTAAAAACTTATGAAAAAGTCAATACTAAACTAAAAAAAAACAAAAAGGAAATCAATAATTCGAAGTATAGTCATAGCAGTGAGAGAACATCTACAATTGTGAGTTATAATAGGATACAAATAAATTTAAAAATGAAGTTAACATAAACCAGGGAATTTTATTAAACAAAATTTCAAAGCGCAATGCAAATTGCACTGTGATTTGCGCATATAAATTGTTTGCAATCATTACATTTGAAGTTTGCATCCAGTGAACGAGAGCACAGATGGCACTTTCCTCGTTTCTATGGATTTATGAGGACGGTTCGATCTATGTTGGGTTTAGCCAATTGCGTTCGTAGTAACGAAACAAGATCCTTTGTTACATATTATGACAAAACTGTGTAGTGCAGCAATATCTAGAAAGTCCATAAAGAGTCGAAAAGGCCAGCAAGGAGTTTGTCGAGCACACGTAAAACACGATAAATATATCATACAGACACTACGTGGGGTCCTCCTGGTACCCTGTTGATAAAAATGCAGTTTTCATGGATATTAATATTAAAACTCGGTTAAATTTACTAGATGTTCGGTGGAAAAGTGTTAAAACTAAATCACATTCAATATGTATTTTGTTAACTTGGTTGTTTTGATTGTATTTGTCAATATGATATATGTTTAAGAAGTATCTTTTCAATAAAAAAAAGTCAAATCGATTTTTTAATATCTAGTTTTACTGTTTCTGGTTCTATTCCATATTTGGATCATTTTTAAAAACTAAATTACTTGATATTTCATGCATAATAGTAGTTATTATTTAACTGGAAATTAAAATCTGAAAATCTCAGAAAGACCACACGTAGTAGTTTAAGAGTAAAGACACTGATAACTATTCCTGTGACAGGTTAAATTTAGTAATTAAATTTAAACATTACCGCTACAGCTTATCAATAATTTACTAACATTAATTATTCAAATAATAGTCTGTGAAATATCGCCCAACTCTATTACATATTCATTAAAGTTTACACATCTGTAACTTACATGTAGGTAGGTACGTTTATAAATAATTTGTGAATACAAGTAGTTAGTGTAATATAAAGTAATGACCTAATCCTTAGTGTTCAAGTTTACCATTTATTTCTAATAAACATAACTCACCTACAAACGACTGGTGGACAAACAATGTACAATAAACGATTATCGCTCAGACCATACCCGTAAAGAATGGTGAGAGCGCACTCGTTGCCGGTTTCGTGAATGAGGCCATACCGTCTCGCCACCGATGCCAATTCGGCTTCTTTTTCGGCATCTCTACCTCCGAGATGGACTTCTTTTACTGCGGTGAGATCCAAAAATCTGCAACAAAGAAAATACATTTATATTTTTGTGTAATATCTCTATGGAAACTGGAAACTCAAATTTTACAGTCACCTTTCTAAAGTTTTCAATAGCCACATATATACAGAATTCTGGAAAGAATATTACACCAATGTATTGAATTATTAGCCTTCGTACGCTTGAAGGGCGTCTTAAGCTTTAGATGTACGTAATTGAACTTTTTAAGGAAAAATGTGTAAAAACAACAAGATCCGAAAACTGTGAAATACATATTTTAGAATTCGAAAACGTATCATGCCTATTTTCAGTATAGGTCAAGTTATTTTTTAGAGAAAACAAATTATTAGGTAATTATGTATTGACATTAATTTAATGCAAAGAAAATAAAGAATAAAGTGTGAATGAAACGAGACTAAATAGGGTCCCAAAAAACACGAAAATAATTATCACAACTAAAAAATTAGCCAAATAATAACTTAAATGCTTAAAATAGCTAACAGATGATAGTGAAACAAACTATTCCCTCTATAAAGGAAGCAAAAAGGCCATTGACATACAGCCCATCAATCAGAATTGCAAATAGAAGCAGTGCTACGTCAATTCAAGGGACATTTTCAAATTACTTTCCAGTCAAATGACAATTTATAGCATATAGGAATTAGTATCGCTAGTACAGTAGTATAGTATCGAAAGAAGTAGCAGATGAAATTAGGAATAACAAAAAAAAAGCTCCCTGCTACGACTTTGTAACAAGAAAAATCCTACCCAGAAATGCTTTGTTTGAACTCACTTATCTAATAAATCCAACATTTCGATTAAAACATGTAGGTACCAGATGCATGAAATATAATAATAATTCTTAAATGAAGCATCATCTTACAACCTTATTTTACTATTATCAATTCTATCTAAGCTATTTGAGAAACTACTGCTAAAACTGAACTTATTCGTCAGTTTAGGTTTCATAACAGGCATTTAACAATTGATCAAATTAACCACATAATAGATATTTTTGGAAAAGCCTACAAGGAAAAGAAAAATGTTCAGCAATATTTGTGGATGCAGTTCAGGCATTCAACCGGTTTGACATATAATACATAGGTTTCTCGGTATATACGAATTGTTGTATATTTTATATTTCTACTCATAAAATGTAAATAACGTCTATTTACTTTTAACTGCAGGATTTAGTAATATTGGTAAACACGATACAATTTTACAAGAAATCTTTCAAATTCTGCTGATGTTCTAACTCCATGTAGGGTTCGCCACTAACCCAACATCTGTGGACTAGATACTAGAGTCTCCTTTAAAAGACAGGCATATCCAAACTATATATCGTATTACGGCTTTTATCACATTGTTTCCCCAGTATTTTCTCATTTAAATACTAATCGCAATTGGCATTGCTTGATTCCAGGTATCGAAAGAACAAAGTAAACCTTCCAAATAGCCCAAAAACGTCTGCAACATGCATTTTTATGAACATAAATAGAATAAAAAAGATATAATAAATATGGAATACCGGGTGTCAGTAAGATCTGCACAACGATAATATCTCTTTTATTTATGAAGCGATTTAGATCAAGTTTGGCACAAACCTATTGGAAATAATTTCGAATGGACATATATACATTATACTTACACAAAATGGCGGATTTTAGATTTTATCGAAAATATCATTAATTCTGATTTTTTTAATTGATCACCATGTATATTGTTTTTTTTTTAATTGCATATGACAGTCAATGGTCAAAATTAAAAAAATTTAGTTTTTTTATAAAATTCGCGAAATTGACTGTAGATGGCAGGTCGAACGTCAGCGCTGTCAATTTTTTATGTAAGTCAATGCAAAATGAAGTGTTCTTTTAAAAATTGGTGAAAATAATAAAAAAAATATAAAAAAAGTACCCGAGTACAAGTAATATGAGTAACAAAAAACAAAGCAAAATTTACTTCGTTGTATATTGTAAAACAATATACAAATCAGATGTAAAACTAAAGAAAACAAGGAGAAATCAATTTAATATCTTTTTAAAGCTTTTAATGTAACTAAATTAAATTATTGTAAACTAGTCACAACTTGTATCTTACGGAGTGCAGTTTATTTTATTACAAGTTTCTACAAACCGCACAAAAATTATCGCATCACCAATGCTTTTAAATATTTTGGCTACAGTAAATTTATATTTTCTACGACCGTGTATTTTTACCCACTTTCCCGCACGCATTTTAGTTTTGAAAGTGTCACTTTCCCGCACAAGTGCGGGAAAAAATCACTTTTCCGCACTAGTGAATATTTGGCCTTACCTATTGTATAGTTTTTTTACCTCGGATGTTATAACTATTGTTACAATAGGTAATTAGTATTTTCCAACTATTCCATTTAATAAAATTTATTTTTTTTCTTGCTTTTTGTTATAATTTTAATTTTTTGGAAAACTTGAATAATAGAGATATTTTTATATACCTTCTGTATATTTTTAAAAGTCAGACTAGGCTGTGACATGTATGGCTTGATATGGTTGCTATATGGTAACCAAGGCGTGTTATTGTTACAAAAACGTCAAAGTTGTTTGTTGAAGCGTCAGCTGAATTAAAATAAATTAAAGAAATAATGGATTCATCGGATGAAGAGCTGCCCGAAGCCATTTTAAAAGCTGCAAATGAAGCACATTTGGAGGTGTTACCTGCCAAATCACGAGGAAGATATGAAAAACAATACGACCATTTTGTCACATGGTATAAACAGGAAGGGGTAAAAACCTACAAAGAAGAGGTGTTTCTGGCGTATTTTTCGCACCTAAGTAAGTTTTTGAAATCTAATACTTTATGGTCTCGCTATTCGATGGTGAAAAGTTTAGTAAAAATAAAACAAAATTTGGATATAAGCCAGTTCCATAAGTTAACGTCATTTCCAAAACAAAAAAATGTTGGTTTTCGAGCACAGAAGGCGCAGGTTTTTACCAAAGAAGATATATCCAGGTTTATGTTAGCCCCTGATGAGGTATACCTTATGATTAAAGTGAGTACCATTTTTGTTTTAGCTGGTGCTCTCCGCAGAGCGGAGCTTGTAAATATCACTCTCGATGATATACAAGATAAAGGCAATCTGATAGTTGTGAAAATTTTCGATTCCAAAAATCATTCTTCAAGATCATTTGTTTTATGTGAAGAAATAAATAATGGAAACTTTCTGAAGCTGTACAGAAAGTACGCAGGTTTACGACCACCTACCACTCCGCATCGCCGCTTTTTTATTAATTATAAGAAGGGAAAATGCTCAATTCAGTGCGTTGGCGTAAACACCTTTGGTAAGATGCCAACAGAGATTGCTGCATATTTGCGTCTACCTAATCCTGAACGATATACAGGACACAGTTTTAGACGTTCTTCAGCAACATTCCTAGCAGACTCAGGTGAAGCGATAACCAATATAAAACGTCTCGGTGGCTGGAAGTCCACTACTATCGCTGAAGGCTATTTGTAGGACTCCGACACACAGAAGAAAAACATTTCGAATAAAATTCTTTCAAATAGAAATGACTTGCAACCTTTGCTGCCATCGTCATTTTCACCTTCATGCGACCTGCAACCGATGTCACTCCCGTCCACGTCATCTTTTCAATCTACGAGCGTTACGACTATTAACAGCCAATTAACACCAACTAATTCCTCTGTACCGGCAATTTTACATAATTTACAAAATGCTACATATTGTGTATTTAACATTAATATCCATAATAATTAGTTGGTTTTATTTAAAGATTTGTATATGTTGAAATAAAATAATTTTCCAAAAATAATTTTTCCTACTTTTTTGTATATACGGTCGTAGAAAAAATAATGTTCCTAACTCATGCATAAAGTGTCTTTCCCGCACTTGACCGCTTGCCCGAACTCCGCTTCGCGTCGTTCGGGCCAACTGCAGTCGCGTGCGGAAAAGTAACACTTTCCGCACTTGTTAGGAAAATAACTATTTAAAATTTCTTAAGTGTTCCCTGAATAGGCATTCTTTACTGATAAACTCGAGTCAAAAAACTGGTCCTTTCTTCTTTTGTTAGGTTCTTGTTTACTTTTTTCGAGAGAATGCGGATAGGCATACATTCCACTTTGCAATTATGCTGTTCATTTTTGTGTTTTCTGCTTTGATATTAAGTTGTAGGATAAAGGCGTATACCACAACGTTTAAGTCGCCATTTGACAGATGACGAGGCCGTCAGAGTAATTGCGCTGATTGAAGCGAAGTCAAAGGTACGTGGCGGATTTATTGGGTGTACAACAGAGTACCATTTCAAGAGTTGTTCAAATGCATAGGGAGACTGGACGGTACTCTAGAAGAGAGGGCCAAGGTCGTCCTAGAGTTAAAACAGCTCTAGATGATCGTTTTTTACGACTTTCAGCCCTAAGAACACGACACTGCACTGCTCGAATGCTCCAGAATGACCTTTTAGATGCCTGAAATGTTCAGATTTGCGTACAAACCGTACGTAATCATCTTCGAGAGCATGGTATACGTATAAGAGTTCCAGCTAATGGTCCGTGTCTTACCAGAGAACATCGAGTTTGCCGTTTACAATTTGCTAGAGACAATGCTGGATGGGGTGTAGAAGAATGGTCCAATATCCTATTTACAGACGGGTCCAGATTTTATTTGTTCTCTTTAGACAGACGTATGCCAGTATACCGAATACAAGGCGAGCGACATTACCAATGCAACTTTCGTGAAAGGGAAAGTTTTGGAGGAAATTTTTATCTCCGTGTAGTCAAACTCATGTCCCGTATTTATATGGTGTTCCACCGCCGCACATGTATTTTTGTTTGGTATGGCAATCGCTTTTGTGTTGAGTGACTCTTTGTCTCAACCATTGTCCCGTTTGTCCTATATAACATCCATTGCACCCTGAACAAGGCAAACTGTAAACAACATTGCTGTTGAATAACGTTGGTGTTTTGTCCTTTACTTTTGAGAATACGTTCTTGATCGTTAGCGGATTGTAAGGAGCAATTTTTAAATT